CTCAGAGATATATCAGCTTGCATTATATTCATGATAAGAACCTTCTGTTCCCAACATGGTCAGCTTTCTTTTCTGAAATTCTTCTCTAAGGAGGTAGGTTAGAGGTTGTCACAAGCAGTGTTGGGCACGTTACTTTGAAAAAGTAATTAGTTATAGTTACTAGTTACTTCTCCCAAAAAGTAGCTGAGTTACTAACTGAGTTACTCCACAATAAAAGTAACTAGTTACTAGTAAAAGTAACATTGCGTTACTTTTGCGTTTCTCGCCCCCGTAAACCTCACCACCCGGCCCCCACCTTCTCGCCGTGTGTTTCCAAAGCCAGCTGAATAGAGCGGACGACAAAGACAAGAACCTGCAGACAGTTTAGCATTTATTGCAACTCAACGTAAATGACATCAGGGGGGAACGCCATGTGAAGTTTTATAACAGGACATTCAGATCCGGTGAGTATATGAAATTAATAACTGGGGATGTCTAATTCTGAAATCCTGTGTGTTTGGGTTGTTATAGATACTGCAACATCTATCTATCCATCTATCTATCTAGATGTATACTCTGTGTGTGGCATAAAATATGGATCTCCATCCCTGCCACAAAGGCCATCAAATAATGTTTAAAATAAAAAATACAGTAGGTTGAGAAGGCAGAGTATCCATCCATCCATCCATCCATCCATCCATCCATCCATCCATCCATCCATCCATCCATCCATCCATCCATCCATCCATCCATCCAGATTTCTCCCTTTCTCCATACAGGCTATCATTTCTGGCTGTTGTCAGGTTCATTTGATCGTTCACGCTCTCCATAGTTCTCCTGTGGCGCGAGCACAGGGCGACTGTTGGGCGCCTTTAGCGAGCATGCGCGTTTCCTGTCGCTTGCGCGGTGAATCGTGCCGCCTGCGCTGTGTGGAGATGCAGAAGAAACCGTTATGTGATGGGGAAAGGGAGCTCTACGTAACACCGGTATTTCCATGTGGAAAACGCTGTTTTGCTGCTGGAGTCATCCTCACTCTCCATCTCTCTGTGTGTGCTGTACGTTAACACCCACCAGCAGAAACACCCACCTACCCAACTGACAGACGGAATCTCACCATACATCAGCCATTCTCATCCTCACCTCTCTCATGACAAGGCGCGCACCTCTTGATGACCTAAAAAATAATCTTTAATATCTCTTAAACAAAAGTAGCACAAACAATATTTTTTTCTGCACAAATCTGCACTAACGTTGCACTAACCATTCAGTCTATTTGCAGAGTTTTTTGACGTGGGTGGGGTGTCAGCTTCACGCAGCTGCGCACGAGTCCTATCATGAAAAAAGGTTCATTGTGCGACCTGAGTAACGCGCAGTAACGGGGTGTCTGCAATGGTAACTGCGTTATAGTTACAGTCAAAGTAATTAGTTAGATTACTCGTTACTAAAACAAGGTAACGGCGTTAGTAACGCCGTTAGTTTCAACGCCGTTAGTCCCATCACTGGTCACAAGTGATGTTATGACTTGCAACCCTTCATTCATCTCCAGCACCACACACATCCCCTGATTCTTCTAAGCTTTTCCTCCAGGTAGCTTTCCAGTATACAGTATACTTGCATATTCCATGCATAGCTGGATTTTGCACCTCAGGTTGCCCATATTATGATATGGGCATTCTGAGCAATGCTGACTGAATCTCTTCAATTCATGTGATTGAAAATCTGGTAGGACCAGGAGTTTTTATCAAATTAGCTGATGATAGTCTGCATCAACTTTGGTGTGGTGATGTTGTCACTCCTGCGGAAGATGATTGGGCTTGCATCTGCACTCCTGGGCTTTCATCTGTTCGGGGGATAATAGCAGACTCTTCCTCTGAATCCTTCTCATAGTAGGAGAATTGATCATGTGGGTGAACAATAACTTTGTCTTCTGATTCTGAAATATCCTCTGCCTTAGAAACCTCTTGCTCTACATCACTATCCAAGTTCAAAATTTGTGTAAAAGACTACTCAGCTGTAATCCTTCAGGAGCTCAGTTTTTGGTGAGTTTTTTCATATAGATGACATGAGAGCATTGACAAGAACTAGTGTAAGATAGTTCCCTCCCTTACCACACCTGGGTCTCGGTCTCAGAGACAAATGAAAAGAGTAAAGTACATCAAAGAGCCATTTTTATTTACCTGAATAGCTACTTACCCACATTAAAGTGTCCGGGTCAAAATGACCCACAACATCATATTTGTATACATACTCTGCACAGACACTCCACTACACATCAGAGTGGCCAGATTTTACATACATGTTCATGACCCCAGATGAGGAAAAGTCACCAAATTTCATGAAGAAAAAAAAAAAGATAACCAGTACTTTGATCAACACAAAAACTGAAATGGGTCAAATTGACCCTTAACATAATATAAGGGTTAAGTAATCATGTAAAAAAGCTAAAGGCTGCTTAGATTCAGCACAGTGGTCTGGAGTTCCTTTCCTAACCTGAAAGGTTTCTTGTTGTCGACCAGATGAAAATTAATGGGATAGGAGCTGTGAACAGGAGGTGAAAGCTACCGGAGACCAGATGGATGGAAATGGAGAGGACTTGTTGTTTATAGGGAATACTACTTTCATCCTGAGTGACAAATTTGATTGATTTTGGTTCCTTTTACAGTACATTTCTCACAAATTTTTTTTTTGAAGTTCTCATCTTTGACAGAGGAATTTTTCCTGCTCCAAAGGCCTCAGACATTTGTATGTGGGTCTCCCTTGCAAATGCTTTATTCTGATGTTATTGCCTCAATCCCGTGAACTCCAAACACAGCAGTCACACAGTAGACATGCAACCCTCTGTTACAGCAACTAGCCACTATTTAAAACTCCATACACAGAGTGGAGGAATACATTTTGTGAACACCTTTTCTGCTTCCCGATCATTTTATACAGTTTAGGTTTAATATATAGTGTAGATGGTACTTATTAAAAAAGTAGTCCTGGTTCCGTTCAGGACCAGCCTCCATGTGGGTTTTTTGTGTTGCTATCTAGAAACCTTTCAGTGCTCCAAACATATAGTTTAAGAGGTTTTCTGCAGCCATGGAGAATACTTGTAAGGTTACTAAAGAACAAATGTAAATAAAAATCACAGGGCAAAATACAAATACTTTGAAAACATTAGCCTACTTAGTGACACTCTGTCTAATAGCTTGGTATCATGTGTCTGGAATGGGGAAGTAGGTTTATTTTCAGGTTAATATTTATTAGATTAAATTGTGATTTTAAATAAAACAGCCAAACAAGGTTGAAAAGGGACCCTGGTAACGAGGAAACAACATGGTATGTGATATCAATAGATTTTAAGTCTAAGTTTCTATTTTGTGAACTTACTCTCATCATATCTGTGGTTTTACTTTAAAGTTTTCCTATCTCGCTCCAAAGATGGAAACTTTCTTTGCATCTTACCCTTTGACACAATAAATTAATAGCAGCACAAGTAACTCCTGTAATCATAAAAACAGAAACAGTGAAAAAAAAGGGAAATAAATATTCCCAGGGACGAATTGCTGCAAATTAAAGGCAAAAAAACCCAAAACTTTGAAGAGACTTGTTTTGCTTTTCAATATTCCTGGATGTAGAGGCCTACGGTGGGAGTCTTTGAACGCAGTAAAGCAAGCGGCCCGTCTTCTGTCGGCTCCAGCTGAGGCCATCCCATCTTTGCTCCTTTCTGCTGTGACTTTCAGGCCACAGCTGAGAATGCCACACAGACAGAATGCTCCTTAAAGGCAACTAAAGCTGCAGATCAGTCTCTGTATGCATATGTATTTGCTCAGGATGTCATCATAGGTTAATTATTTATCATTTTATAGATGCTATGTCAACAGCGCTGACATGCTAACCAGTCACGAGGAAATTCCTAAGAGCTTACATATTTGACTTCAGGGTTGCTTCAACCTAACATTTTGATATTGTGATTTCCATTTTGGCTTTTTTGTAGGGAAAACCAGGAAACAATCATGCCATCAGTGGCGTTCCATGGCTTCTCTTTCAAAATTTCTGGACTACCAAATTAAAATCTACCTCAAATATAAAATGTATGCTTTTTTTTTTTACAGTGTCCTGTCTGGCAATGTGGCAATAAGAATAATAGTCTTGATGCCAAAAAGAGTCCAACAGATTTGACTTTCACAAGTGGAGCAGTATGGCTTAATTATAATTATGCAGGGAGTTTTACAGTTTATATGGACACTGCAATGTAAATAGAGCAGAAAAACAGAAGAAGAAAAGGAAAAAAAAGAGAAAAGATGAAAGAAAGAAGAGATAGAAAGGAGATGATAATAATAAAATGTATGCTGCTGTCTTGTAGTTCAGGTTGTTTTGGGTTTAGATTTGTGAAATGGTGAAACTTGGTCAAGTAAAATCCATTATAAAAAGTGAGCTTAATCTTTATTCTCTTAATATCATAAAAGCAGCCAAAATACAAACAAATGATCCTTTTGCTGCTGTTGATTCTTAGAAAAGAAACTTGCATGCTGGCATATCTGCTGTTATGCAATAAACCAGTCAAGAACCAGTAAATTATTCATTTCCTACCATTACTCTATTTTTTCTGAGGATAATGCATTCTCTGTTCTTCTTGTCTTGTTAATAGTTTCATTTTTGTCATTTCAACTTTATACATGATGTCTTATTGAGATCCAAACATTTACAAGAGAGATCTATTTTGATAAAAAACAAACAAAATTGCAAAAAAAAACATACAAAAATATTAACCTAGTTCAATTGTAACAAAGTCCTTAATATCTGCAGCTTGTGAAGAGGTATTTAGCAGCTTTGTTGGAAAATCTTGATAAATCCTATGAAAGTAAAGCTATGATGCTGTGTGATGTATGATGCTGCTTAATTCTGGTAATTGAACACGTCTTGCGTCTGCACCAAATCTTTTTCAACGCTACTCTCAAGAATCAGCATCACCTACCCCACCCCCCTCATCTCTGCCTCTGCCATCCTCTGAGCCATTAAAGCATGTAGATTATTATCCGTCAGTGGGAAACACACATATGTAAACATTGTACAGCACTCTGGGCTCATTGATAAAAAAGATTCTGGTCCTTTTTCCTCCTGCTCTGTATGCTGATGCACCACTGAGAAGACCAGCAACACAGAGCAAAGATCAGCAGACGGGAGGGGAGGCGGTGGAGAGCAGGACTGCCTGCCAGAGGACCCCACGTGCTTCTTTTTTCTATCGCTGCACCCTAGGCTGCTGTTCATGGAGGACTGGAGGTAGGCTTTTGTTGCTGTTGTGGGGGGCTGTGTGCTCCTGTTCTCTGGGCGTCTTCACTGCCTTTGTGTTGGACTTTTTCCTTAATCGGACATGTTGGTGCAGCTGGCTTGCAGTGATGGGAATGGTCTGTACGCTTGCATTATATGGATGCTTCAGCTTGTCTGTAAATGCTGTGGATGCTGAATAGTAGCTGCTGTTCACTTTAAGAAAAAAAAGGAAAAAGTGAAGAGTGAGACGAAGTGATGTGATGGTAACTAAACATCAGAGGATGCATCTCTTAGTTGAGTTTTTGCCTGGGTTCTAGCAGTACTGATTCTGTGTTGGCTTTATGTCAGTCAGGGATTTCTGATCAGTTTATTTGATCTGTTTTAGCTTTGATATGAAAAAAAAAAAAAAAAGTCAGTCAATGTTTTTTTAATATTTTTTTCATACTCTGCAACCTTCCTTTAAAAAAAGGCAAGGTTCAACAAAAGCCCCCCCCCTTTCCTCTTAGCGTGCAGCTAATGGCTCAACCAAGCATAATAAACACCCACTCCTCAAGCTCCCTCTCTACGGAGCTTCACTGCAGGAGCAAACATTTGTTTTTGCTCTAAAACTCCTAATATAAAGAGGAAACACCTTTCAATCCAAGCAGGATCTGGATTGTTGTTGCTTTGTTTTTTTTGGAAGCAACTTCCTAGTTTCACTCTGCCTTCAGATTGTGAATTATGTTGCTCCAATCTACTAGTCCATGGTTGACCCAAATACTCGCACAGCTCTCTCCCCTCCCCCTGACCTCAGCTCAGATCAAAACAAATCACAGCCGCTTCATTTTCTATTGTTTCATATATGCCTGGTTTATAGTAAACAGTTTTCTGTTTAGTTACAATTTTATGTCGCCTTTTAACATAATAAACAAATTTAGAGTCTGAAAATCCACATATTTCATAAAAAGGCTGGTGAGCTGAGATTCCTTGGACAAAGAAACCTCAAGAATAGATATGTGGGTGTTAACTAACAAATATAAAATCTCAGCGAATTTTTTTTATTTTTTTTATATTGGGGATCATTGTTTTATAGATGGACATTTTAGAAAATGCTCTTTGAAGGATATATTTATAAGCAATAGATTTTTTAGAACTTTTTTTTTTCTTTTTGCATTGGATAAAACATTACATGAAGTTAGCAGAGGCTGCACAGAGCTAAACAAATACTAAAGGTTGACTATGAACACCTAAAGCTGAGTACAACTAGGACGCAGGGTAATCACTTGCTTCTCAACAAATAACTGCTTTTCTCATACTGCTTTTCTAATTAGACAAAATAAAACATTGGAATACTTTATTCTCTAGAGATCATGATATGAAATCTACAATATAAATTCTGACATCTTGCATTTTCAGTCAGTTTTGGATTCCCTGCTCTGCAAATTCAGTTATAGATTGATTGGCGTTTAGTTTTCTACTCATTTAAATGTAGATGCTTATATTACACCATATAATAGATTAAAGAAGGTGGTCAGAGGACATCCTGAAAAATATTCTTTATTTTATTTTCATTTATTAAAGCAAACATTAAACATTGTCCTGATAGGTGGTGCTTTGTTCCTCCTGTAGCAGTGATTCTTTTGATTCCCACTTGCAACTCATGCAGCAACAGATATAAGTACATCATCGATCGTCTCATTTAGCTCTCAGCAAGAACGTAAATAACCTCATTTCTCATCTTGTCAAGTTCTTTATTTATCAGGCAATTTTGTCATGGATCCTTAAGCAAGGTGGTTCTTTCTCAGCATTTTTTTTTTGTTTAAAGAAAGCCTCTATTAGAAATTGCATCAATCAACAACCTTTTCACATGAAATGCTTTCCCTATATCATCTGTTCATTGGTATTTAGAATTCAGCAGAGACTCCACGTAAGCTGCTGTCGGAGTAAACACCATGATAACAGCTTGTCTCCTTGTTGCTCTGATACTTCAAATCCATTTGATTTGCATTTTCACTTTCCATTTCATCCCGCTTTCTGCTCTGTGAGGAACATTGTTTGTTTATGTTGTGTAATTATGGTTTGCAGCTCCTACCACACATGCTTACATTCATGTTTGAGATCTGCAGTTTTTTTAAACTTAATGTTTTACAAGATGCATGGGATTGAAGCCTAAACAAGTATCTGAAAAGTACAGAAAATATGTTGCATTTTATGAATTAATGAATTTAGTAGGAAAACAGAGATTGTTTATCCACTTCTAGCTTAGCCATTTCGTCTGTGTGTTATGCAAAAAGACATATGTTTCAATTAGCAATGTTTAAGTATAAATATGACAACTGTAATACAGGTGTAGGAAACAATGATTGTACTTTAAATTGTTGCTTCGTTCTGTTCCCTCATCAACAGGAAATTGAAATATCAACCTCTCTTTTATTAAATAAAAGTTCATTCGACAAAAAAAAGCTTTGGGACGTTAATCCGTTTTACGACGCTACATTAATATTGCTGTTTGAAATGTCTAAGACACCCAGTCCAAATAAAGTTCAATTTTAAACTACTGTAATAAAAAAAGTTATTCTGTAGTTGCTTTGACCCCATTGTTTCTTGTTTATCTTTAACCTGGGTTTAATGGACAGTGTTCTGAAGATCCTTCTGAGTTTTTCTTTGGGTTTGCGTAGCTTTTTTTCACTTTTTTTGCAGTACCTTCTGGTGTCTGATCATGACATCTTTTTACGGCCTTTATACTCAAAAATGAGTAATATGGACAACCTAAAAGGAAAAAATTTGCTATCCAATAAATGAAAAAAAAATTCTTATAGCTAATGCTTAATCTCGTCTAGCAAGAACTCTGAGCTAAAACTAAGTTTTGAGCACTACAAATCCTTATGCCTCATCAGGGTGTGCAGTTCTTTGTTCTTTGAAATAAATTTTCATAGGATAACTTGTGGTTGTAAATATGTGACATTTATGGATCAAACAGTAGTTTACTTATCAGCATTGTAGTTACAGTAGCTATAATTGAGTTTGCTTTCATTTTTCATTTACTTCCCCTTTGCATCGTATTTCACCTTGCTTTTATATAAGATGTGGATATTAGAGTACTCAAAATGTTCACTCAGGTAAGAGTAGCACTATTTTAGATTTTTTTACTCAAGCAGAAAATTTTACTCCAAGAAATTACTAAAGTAAGATTAAAAATATACTTTATGAAAAGGCTACTGAATTACTGAGCAACTGTTGGCTCTAAACATCTGATTTAAAGAAGCATTATGGAGTTTTTTAACGATACTGCCCCCTGTGGCCAAAACTCATAACTGCAGCACTATTCTACTTTTTCTCATAGTTTCCGTTTGTACTTAAGAAGGATTTATTTTTTATTCCATTTTTTACTTTTCTCACTTGGAGTTCCCATTGGTGTCCGAGTTGAGCTGGATGTTGGTCATTTCTGAGTATCCACAAAATGTTTTGAATTATTTTTGAATCTGACACTTTGATAGTTTGCTATGGACGGGCTTGACGTCACATCCGCTGAACAGAATGAGAACTTCTGACCTGAAGTTAAAATAGGAAAATAGGTAACATGCTTATAGATGCATCGGTGCTGAACTACTGAGGTGTCAGTCTGCTCATTAAATTATGTTTTAGTGGTAAAGACTCAAATAAAAAGGCTATTTTAAAGATATTTTTCAGTGAAAACTTACAAAATATCTCATTAATGTTTAAAATGATGTAATTATACTGAGAGTTATGTGCAAGTTCTGGTATTCCAAATGATATAACATATTAGGTAGGGACTACCTGATCAATATAGGTCTAGGATCAGCCATACAACTACCGGTATTATTGGAATATATAAGCCAACATCTCTGATACTAATAAATATAGTAAAAATAATCAGTTTCTGTTCATAGTTTATTTAACATGGTTAGAAATAAAGGAGTCAGATTTCTTGTGTGTTTCATTCTTGACTATTGTTTCTTGTTCAAGTAATATGACTTGATCAATCCCTTTCTAATATGCTGCAATACGAAAAAAGTAATAAAAGTATGTTTGATTCATGCTGATATCGTATTTGGTCAATATCAGTTAATAGTATCGTATAGGAAATGAAAAAGTTGTGTCAGGACATCCATAAAAAGATATACAATTAAAAACACATGATTACAAAATAACAAAAAAAAAATTTTAATCATTCTTTCAACATAAACATATAGAATCAGTTTTAGTAAGTCAGCAAAGGATGAAGAACATCCTGCAAACATTGAGGTTTACTTTATTTTTACTTGACTACCAAATAGCTCAAGATATTTGTGATGGTTGGGGTAAGCGGAAATGTAAACTACTTACTACTCACCTCTGATTTATGCACATAAAGTTTATTAATGATACATTTTAGGTTATTGAAACATTTGAACTAAAGCTATATTATTTTACCAACCTGTCAAATCTATTTGACATTTTTTAAAAGATACCTTATTTTATCACACCCTGCATCCAATTCTTCTGTCAGCTCATTGATTTACATATTTCTCATCCTTCTGGGCAGTGCATGAGGAGGACCACTTTGCCGCAGACCCCCCATAGCCTGAAGCCACCCTGCCAAATCTGGGACCATGTCTGGAGGGTATGATGAGTACGGCAGCCATGAGGGTGCCACGGACAGTTTCTGGGAGGTGAGAAAAAGGGCTGCAGCATTTGACAGATTAGACCTGAACCCAAAGTGACACTGTATTGTGATAAACTACCGGCAGACCTTCCTCATGTGGGTAGGAGAGAAGAAATACGATTTGTAGCCTCGTTTATCAGCGTGTCTTAGACTCACATCTGCACATAAATCAGGTGTGTGCTCGACAGTAAGCATAGCACCAGATTTATCAGGTGGATGGGCTCACTAATCTCAGGTAGCTCACACTGGGTTGGTTGGTAATTACACCCACAGAAATTCACAACAAAATGACAAACGGTAGCATCATGTGGCCATCAATCAAGAATGAGATTAGTAAGCAACTAAGTCCACTCATTTAAATGCAAAATTAGGAATGCAGAAAACTATCCAGGACTTATAATCCTGTCATAAGCATTTATTTCCCTTATGTTATTTCCTTCCCTTTTAGCTTAATTATTAGACGTTTAGTTTTAGTTATTTACTCATTTGTTTTTAATAAGAATGACGGCTAGATATATTCCATCTAGATTTGAAAATGTTCTCCTTTCTGTTCTGACCTTTATTTTCATCTAATTATTCAGCTGGTTGTAAGTGGCAAACACTTGGAAATATTGGTGCCTTACTGCTTTAAGAAGTTACTGACAGGTTTCCTTTTTTAATAAAAGTAACGTATAAATGAGTAAAGTTATCTGTTTTCCTGTTGGGTGGAAGGTATGATCCAAATTCTAGCAAAAGGCAGACAGTTTACAAAACATTAAAATATGCTGTAAAAGCCGGAAGTTAATAATACAAGGATTTATAAAAGGGGAGATATCTGGACTAAATTTTCAGTCGTCTAGAAGTAAACAGAGGAAATAAATTGTAAAGAAATATACTTAAAAAAACAATGGCACATGGATGATAGAGGATAAATAAAAAAAGGATTACAGCATCCAAGATTGATGTAATACTCCTTTCATATTAATAAAGTCTGAATAAAGCCGTATACATGCAACATCATAGACAGGTCTTGTGTTTTTGTATCAAAAATGCACTGTACTCCCTATGAAACTTGCTGGAGCATAGCAGTTTTTTTGTCATTCTATTCTAATCCCACTATAGGAACATGGTAAGTTATAGAACTCCAGTTTGCACCACAGCTATGGGTATCATTTTGCTCTGTTCCCTGGCTTCCCATACCATATTCTCCCACAACAAAGACCCCCTATACATAGATATCAGTGTGCAACGGACTCTGTGGGGTTTATCAGTAACGGAGTAGTGCGAACACCTCCAAATTGCACATCAATCTGAATATGCTGGTTGCTAGAACAATAAATGAACATTTGAGATTGTAATATTTATAACTCAAAGAAAATATGGATTTTAGCTTATTTTATGATGCGGAAGGACTTTATAATACATTCAGGCATGTATATTGCTTTATTCAGGCTAGTAGCATTGTGGTGACCAGTGAAACATTACGGAAACATTTTGTCGAGTCCTAATATTGTGCAGTGTTGTCCGACGGAAACTCGCTTTCCTAAATTTTGCATTTTTTCTGTTCTAAAAAGTCCAGATTGTGGTGGTCCTAATCAACTGGGGAAAAAGAAGAAAAAAAGGGAAAACAAAACATTGGTGTCCAAAAACCTAAATACAAAAAAAAATATGTATATTTTAAACTTGTTGACTATGAAACCATAATTAGCTCTGAACAGTCATTTCTGTTGTCTTTTTAACACTGTGAGATCAGACAAGGGGATCAAATCAACATATAGGTGAGGCAGGCATAATTTTCTACATGGTACTTTCTGGAATACACTACAGAGGCAGAACATTAGGCTAAAATCTCATTTTATATTTAAAAAAATTGTTGTCTTAAATAATAAAGATAACAACCAATAAGAACTAAAACTGATTATATTCAGAAAGTATGTAATAAATGGCTAAAACAGTAGAAACAGTATCTATAATGCTTTTTTTTTAAAAGGCAAGATTTGAAAAAAATTCTGCATTTCTCTATTGTGGAGTAAAATGATGGTTATATGATAGAACGTATTGTTAAATAGAAATGTAGCCATGTTGTGCCAGTGTCATGGATCTTTTGGATTTTCTAACAAACTTACATCAGCAACAGCCTTTCTTCTCCTCAAAGAGTCTTGGGTTATTTGAGCTACAAGTTCCCCGAAGCAGATCCATTATTTATGAGAGCTGGTCCCTGATCACAGCATGTAAAGCTGGAGTAGACTAGCCTCACTTCAAAGTAAGAAGCTTGTCAAGCTCCTTCTCTCTGAGAAATTACACATAAAATCAAGCTAAACAGTGGATTCTTTACTCCATATTTTTATGTTAAAAATCAAACTTATTCTTAGACTTTTCCACCTCCTTTAGTCTGTGTTTAGAAATCAGTATGGGAAGGATAAAATGTCTGCTTCCAGCACTCAGTCACTTCATCACATCACAGTAAAGATGCTGCAGTGCTGATTGCTGACTCGGCGGGCTGCTGCGAGGCAAAGGTCTGGTGTGGAATACTATTATGCACTCTGATCTGCTTCCTTTTATTCCACAATTAAAGTTTGTTGAAAGTTTTTTTTTTTCAGAAACATTGGAGGGAAATAGTGGTCAAACACTGAGCTTTGGCGGAAGGAAAGCAATTGTAAATCCCTGCAGCTTCTTACCTTTTGAAAACAATGTCTTTGGGAGGGGCTTGTTCCTGTGCCCATGGACAGCTGTAAATGAAATGATGTAAACCCACCTCTTACTTTCGATTGCTTAACTCCTCACAGGGCAGCAGCCACCTCTTAACTGCTCTTTCCAGTTTCTTTCCCGCTGCTTCTTCTGCTGATTCAGTGGATCTCCTGCAGGCTGGGGGATAGAAAACCAACATCTCACACAGGGGGTGAAAAAACAAGGCAGTTTTAGGATTTAAGTAACAACCTGAAATCCGTTGCTCATAAACCTAGAAACCAAATTGAAAATATAAATTTAAAAGTTTGTAGATGATAAAGGGAGTTTTTAGTAAAAGCCTTTTAGCATTAAAGGTAGAGTTATTACAAGCTTGTTAAAGAATCAGGAAATTCTGAATCACAGAGTATTGCTATACATTTCCATAGGAAAGGATATAGTAAGTAGATATTAAAATTGTAATAATCCTTTTTGTTTATCTTCAAACCAAGAAGGTGAGCAATGTGGGTCCTTAAGTGGAATAAGCAATTAATTATTCTAACCTTGGTTTATCAATGTAACATAAAAAAAAGATACAGAATATGTTTTATATATATATGTCTGTCCAAAGACTACACAATGTTTTGTGTCCGTCCTACCCAGAACCCACAACTCATGCACTCCGTTGGGTGTTTTGGTTGGATGCAGTTTGCAGTTTGTGCCACTAGATGTCGTTCAGGCTCACACGATGGGTCTTTAAATGAATAGTTAAAATAAGTGTGTTTTTAACAAGGACTGTGCTGAGAATTGAGCTCAGTCTAAATTCAATCCAAATCAATTAATTTCATTCCAATACATTTCAGTCTAATGCTCAATATTTTCGTTACCAATTTGGTCCCAATTCAATTAAAGGTTTGTTGAAAATGTAAAGTTTGTGAATAATATAGGATCTGCTGAAACTTAGTATTTTTTGTTTTGGATTGGACTTCCTTAATGTTATGCCCTTGTAGTTAAATCCACCTCCCATTTTAACTGTCTAAGAAATACTTTGTTTACCTTGTGTTAGATTTAATTACAGTGTATGTAATTTAAATGTGATTATATGACTGTACTGATTTTTGACCTATGCTTTGAAAGGAAATTGGTACTAAATGGGAGCTGTAAACTGTATGTAGGGAATCTATATTTAACTGAAGATACACATAATATAAAGAGATTAAATAAAACACAATAACCTAATGATTTGATTCATTACTAGTAAGTAACAGTAAAATTACCAGCGATTATTTTTTTTATTAAGGTTGGGAACTACAAGCGCACAGTGAAGCGTATTGATGACGGTAATCGACTCTGCAATGACCTAATGAACTGCATCCAGGAGCGGGCCAAAATCGAGAAAGCTTACGCTCAGCAACTCACTGATTGGTCCAAGAGATGGAGGCAGCTAGTAGATAAAGGTATGGTTCTCGTCCATTCTAAAATGCATTTAATTTGTATGCATGTTGCTAATGTATTCACTGTCTGCCTCTCAATCATTTGTTTCCTACTCTCTTCCTTTTTTCCCCTTCATTTTATTTGAAATTTAAATAAACATGCTATGTTTTGTCCTAATGAGAATTTGACAGTCAAATGTACACAGATCTTTTTTTCAGCTTTTGTTGTCATTACATTTTCGCAATTACAGAGCAACGAAATGAACTGCATTTGACCCATCCCCTTGGGGAGCAGTGGGCTGACATTGTGTGGCGTACGGGGAGCAGTGTGGGGTAAAGGGTATTTGCTCAGCGACCCAGAGTCCGTGAGCTCTGCGGTGGCAGGTGTGGTGGCCTAGTGGCTAGGGCATAGGGCTTGGAATCCTGAGGTTGTGAGTTTTGAAACCCACTCTCAGAGACTGCCACTCTGGGTCTCTGAGCGAGACCTTTAACCCCAAACTGCTTCCCGAGCGCCACAAATGGCAGCCCGCTGCTCCTCAAGGGGATGGGTTAAATGCAGAGAGTGAATTTCGTTGTGCTGTACTTGTGACAGTGTACTGTAATGACAATAAAACGCTGTGTGTGGGAGTGGGGTTGAACTCAGAACCTCTGAATTCCTAGCGAAATGCCCTGACCACTAGGCCGCCACACCCCGAGAGTCGATGCAATCAGCTGGCTTTTCTTTAGAAAACTTTGAACGAATCTGACTGGAGGAATAGATAGGATCTGTGGGAGAATATATGTTTGTTTTATTTCAAAGTAAAGCTTCAGATCTTATTTCCTTCACTAGGCCCACAGTACGGCTCAGTGGAGCAAGCTTGGGTAGCGATGATGGGTGAGGCGGAAAAGGTCAGCGACCTCCACACGGACATGAAGAACCAACTAATGAACATAGACTTTGAGAAGGTGAAGAACTGGCAGAAAGACTCGTACCACAAACAGATGATGGGAGGATTCAAGGAGACCAAAGAGGCAGAAGAAGGCTTTAAGAAGGCCCAGAAACCCTGGGCCAAGAAGCTGAAAGAGGTGAGAGGTAACATGTGAGGTAAAGATGCTGTCACTTATTACAAAGTCGCCAAAATGCTAAGCTGTTTTCTTATGTTCTCTAGTGATTTGGTAGCGCTGTTCAGAACATTACTAGTGTTGCTTACATGTAGGAAGAGTTTATTGACCTCATGTTTATGTGATTTATTTTTATTTTAGCTAGAGTCAAACTTTTGTGCTAATTCCAGTAGGTCCTAGGCTGAAGACTTTCTTTCAACAGACAGAACTTTACACCTTCTGGACTGTAGCTGTCAGTGTTTACAATTTTAAGGTTCCTATGGTCATATAGCTCTTTTAATCATCCTTGTGTTGTAGCTGATTGTGAAAGATTTACTGTTTGACCAAATCATTTATCTGCAATGGCGGTAATCTATAGATGCCCTTTTTTTCCATTTACCTTATGTCAACCATAAATCAAGTTCATTATGCATGGGGTATCAGGTTTTATCTGGTTTCAGGGAACTTAGCTAAATCAGTTCAGTCTGCAGATATCACCACAGAGAGCTTTCTCTAAGCTCATTAATATGCACAGGGCAGCTGGCCAATCATTATCTAGAACAACATCTAGAAATCCATTTTCCTGACAAGCATAGAGATAGACAAGCAAGAGACAAGATGATCCAGGATTTTGTCTTTTAGAAAGTTGACAACTTTATACACTTTTTTTTTTAGATGTTAGACCAATTTTGTGATAGATTCTTAAACAGAAGTTCCCCATTCTTATTAGCAAATGTCTTTGCAGGGTTAAAAGATTAACATTTTTTTTGCAGGTTTTACATTTGATTAGAAGTTTCCTTGTTGCTTTTAATTGATTTCATAAAAAGAGAGAAACTGTAAAGGACTGTATATAAGTAGGAGCTTAAGTTGCTGGCCCGTCTATCCTAAGACTCCTTATGACAGACAGGATAGACCTCCTTAGACGCAGGTATTCATGCCATTTTCTGTGAAGGATTAAAAGCTGATTTGCAAACAATTTCATGAAGATAATTTTACAAAAGCAAATGTTATTCTCACATTGTGAATCGTTAAAGCCTTTGCAAATCTTCCCAGGACATCCTAATAAAGTCCTTCCAAGGTCAGATAATGTAGTGCTCTTTAAACCCAAGACTTCAACAACAGCACACAACGTATATAATATGATTACTGTTAATCTCATTGTAGTTTGCAAAAGGGATAACAGGTATGAATTGTAAGAAGGGCTGACTATGAAAACATCCTCTATCTAAAAGGAATCAGACAGCACACATGTTTGCAAAATTGTCTCTAAGTGAACCAAAAGACATCTGGAAAAAAGGAGACTAAAGTAATGATATTTGATCAAACAATCGGTGATGCTTGGAGAAAACCAAGCAGTTTTATGCCACATCATAAAAACAGTATACCAGCTGTCAAGCATGGTGATTTAGGAGTGATGATCTAGGCTATTGGAGCAACAGGATCTGGGCTTCTGCTTGTCAGGGGGTCACACGTAGCCTCTTTTTTATGCAAAATGTTATAGAGTCAAAAATGTGTCCATTTGACAGATAGCTACAGGTAGGCTGCAGTTTAGTCACCCAAAGAGCAATAATTCCAAACGCGGCAAAACAAGAGGATGAATATCAAAATAATTTTAGTTGCAATGTCCCAGTCCAGACGTGCTTTGGTTAAATTCTGTTGATTAACCTTTAAAAGAGCTGAGCAAAAATTAGAGCAGAGAAAACCTGGCATATTAGGGCTTTATGAATATAAAGGTAATAGGTAATGTCCCACTTGTTTGCAGCTGAGGTTACTGTACCTCATTATAATAGACCTCACTGAGGTAAACCATGCTGATGACACACGGATTTAAATTAAAACTTGTTCTTTGAAATCATTTCTTGTGTCTAAATGCAAACCCCCTGATATTCTTTAGTTTTTTTGTCTTAACTTTGCTTTTCAGGTTGAGGTTGCAAAGAAGTCATACCACATGGCCTGCAAAGAGGAGAAGCTGGCTGCTACAAGAGAGGCCAACATAAAGGGAGAGGGCACAACACCAGCTGAGCAGAGGAAAATACAGGATAAACTGGACAAGTGCAAACAAGACGCACAGAAGGTTTGCTATATCCGCTCTAACAGCCATGTGCTTATCATTATGTAAATATACTATTTCCTCTAATAAATTTAAAGGCAAGTGAGCTGCAATGCTATAATCTCAAGTCTTCATAGTTTAAGGTAACATGGTTAATAAGTGATTGAACGCCACACCTGCCTTTCTCTCTAACATCTCCACTCTTCTCTTGAAGTGGACTCTGATCACTTTTTATGGCTCGAACCATCAAATGTCTGATTTATCTTAACTCCGTCAGAAAACTATTTTTTTATGCTTTCAAATTATGTTAGCTCAGCGATGAAATTAACATTTAAACACCAGTCGCCACATTTTACTTAGAACCTGTCGAAAATTAATTCAAAACAAAAAAAATCTGACTTCTAAATAGTAGGTTTTTTAATAGTGTTTTGTGATCTCACACAGACGAAGGAAAAGTATGAAAAGGTTCTGGACGAGCTGAATAACTGCACCCCTCAGTACATGGAGAACATGGAGCAGGTGTTCAACCAGTGCCAGCAGTTTGAAGAGAAGAGGCTGAGCTTCCTCAGGGAGGTCCTGCTGGATGTCAAACGCCACCTCGACCTCACAGAGAACCAAAAGTTAGTGAGCTTAGCATGAAACAGAAGTCAAAACATATCATCTGCTTTTTCTCTATGCTTACATCAAATCTTCTTTTCTGTCCAAAGTTACGTCACGATATACAGAGATCTTGAGCGGGCCATTACCTCAGCTAGCCCTGAAGAAGATCTGAAGTGGTTTAGTAATATCCATGGCCCTGGCATGCACATGAACTGGCCAAGGTTTGAGGTACTGTTGCCCATTATCTATTTCTCTAAGATTTTATTTCTGTAATTATATTTTTGTTTCATTTCAAAGCACTTTTTTTTTTTTTTTTTTTTTTTTTTATTTGTATATCTTGCCATAGTTGTACCCAAAACAAAATTATGCATGCTAACCAACAGAGAAATAACCCTTATAACTCAGGTTAAGGTCAATTTAGTTTAATTTAGATTAAGTTGATATACATTTAAAGATCAACATTGAAAATTTAGAAGTAATTACATAATCTTTAAAAATATATATTTATTTGTTAAGTAAACAAATACTCATCCATTTGTCCAATTATGCAGTTGATTTACTTTTCTGTTTATTGGCCTTTTTGCAGGAGTACAACCCTGATCTTATTCACTCCATCTCTAAGAAAGACAAGTCAAAGAAGTTTAATGATGATGTCATGCTGACCAGTGTCAAGGCACCAGCAGGCAAAGTTCAAGCAGAAGATGGCGGAAGGTTACTGCCTGATCTTTATTCTTTTTTTAGTCATGCATTTCGTTATTTATTATTTATTTCCCTTAATTCTTCCAAGGATACATGACTAGTTAGACTTTGTTGCAATATCTGCCCACAGTATGCAGTCTTTGCCTTCATTAGTACAAAAAGAATTTACTAGCTATCATAACAACATGACCAAAACATTAAAGATATGCCGTCGTAACCATAAAGGCAGCCCTTTGAATTATCCAGGTGTGTGAAACATGTTTATATGATTCTTCTTTCTTTTAGTGTGAGCAGCTATGACAAGAACCAGGCGTACTCCTCTAATGAATGGTCAGATGATGAACAGAAGGGCATTCACTCAGGCAGTGATACAAATGGAGGGTCCAATCCCTTTGATGAAGAGTCTGGCGAAGGTGTGAGAGTCAAAGCGCTTTATGACTATGAAGGTCAGGAGCAAGACGAGCTCAGCTTCAAAGCAGGTGAGTGCTTTTAACAGGAAGTGCTGTTTATCTGTAGTTTTCCTTGTCGCCTTTAATACGCATCTTTCTTCACAGCCTCTGTAAGTCTAGGTCATCCCTGGTCCAATGAGCTCCTAAAAATATGATTAATTGAAACAATTCTGAATAATAACTTTGTTTTATTAGAACTGACGTTTTTCTTCTATTTTATCTTTATTTATACTAGAAATAGTTGCTGCATTTCAAATAATTTCCTGAGGCGCATTACATTTAGTACAAGAGAAAAGTCTCCAGACAGGCTAAAAGTCAAGCCGTGCCAGATAAAAATCATCCGATAGCAAATAAAATGGTTTGGTTTTTCTAATAGCTGGATGGGTTGGAATTTACAATAAATAAAATACTGCTGGAGTCTTTTTTCAAAGACACTGTGCAACTTTTAGCCACCAGGGGCGCTAGAACTTAAACATCCAGGTTTAGCGGCCATTAAAGCTGCTGGCAGCACTGCACTGTCACAAAATTAAATAGTCTCCTTCTATGTTAGGAATCTGATAGCAGACCACTTTGGCTCACCAGACTGGTTACAGACCAGTTACATGATGATCAGCCTGTACAGAGCGTCAATGTGTTGCAAACATGTAGACCTAAAAACTTTTTTAATTTAAAATGAAGCCAATACTTTGCTCAAAGGTTATGCAGTGTTGCTTCAAAAAAATGTTGCTAATAAAAATCTGGTAAAGGTTTTCATATCCTAAACTTTTTTCTACTTTTTCCACATTACAAGTAAAAAATCCCAAAGTATTTTGCTGAGATATTATGTATTTAAAGTTGATAAACCATAAACCTGATGTTCATATAGCTTTTTGATAACTCCCAGAACAGTGATTATTATTTAATGGAAATATAGAGAATATAGACACTACGAATGTGCTTTTTGTGCTTGTTTTGGGTTACCTTTTTGGGGGGTGGAGGTACAGCATTAAATATCAGGTTTGCTAGCATGACTCTATCCTGTGGTTTCTAAAGAGCTGGTAAGTCTTATGCGAAGCAAGTCATCTTTTTAACACCCTCTTTCTTGCTCCCAGTCCCTTCATTTGCATTTCGATCATCCCATTCGTTATCCCTTTATCTCCTCATTTAACTCTTTATTCTTGTCATCACACCCTGTCAATGCAATGCAAGTCAATCTTATTTCAACACAGCACAGTTTTACTATACAGAAATTAACAACAGCTAATTTTAGCGACTCACAAGCTCCAGTTGAAAACCAACTCTAATCAATCCAATTCGTCATTCTCCCTTGTTGCTTTCATCCCTCACTACTTACTTGATCTCTACCTTCTATCCATTCTTCCCTGTTTTTGCTTTCCTTGTTTTTTCCAGGTACCGATTAGGGGAGGTCCTAAGTTAACCAGGTCATTTGGCTCAACCTGACTCTCCTAGACCGCAATAAGAGCACTCCCCAGATGAACCTCAACCTTCAGACTCATCCATTATATCACACTGTCCTTCATAACACTGATTAGAACCTGTAAATCACATTGTATACCCTAGCTGGTTGTTACCATTTTGTTTCTTATCATTGTGGTTAATTTCACCCAATGGCTCAATCAGAAAAAGAGTAGCAAAATCTATGAATATCACCAAAATAAAAAGAAAATTTCATCTACATTGCAAACACAGAGACTTCTGCAGCTCTTCAGCTTATTTAATTTTTAGGCAGTAATTTTGGATGCTTGTGTTATAATGTGACGTTTATTCAAAAATCTAAATTTATCCAGCTGAAGATGGCTTTTCATTGATTGTTTAGGTTTGATACATGTACACTGTTATTGGCTTGTTTCCATGTCTAATAATCACTGTGATAATGATAAACTTAAAAACTTAAGAGGAAGAAATTCCGATAATCATAAAGATAAAATTGTTATATTTTTTAAACGGAGCACATACATTTAATCGTAGAGCTTGGACGCTCAGGGTGGATTGCATGATATTTGGGGGATGGAATCAGCAATGATAGCATGAGGAAAACCTCTAGTCTGGATGTTGGTATTCTGTTTACACTTCTGTGTTGCAAAATTGTTCCATTCTTATTAATCAAAGGTGGCAAATTTCATGTGATCCAAAATGACCTATTTCTGTGCCAGTTTTAGATTAATATACTTGTTTGTATGAATGATCCTAAAGCTTTATTTTGTGATCCAAAAAAACTGCAGCCATGTTCTATTAAAAATTAATATTTCTCCATCATCCTGACGTATCCTCCATGTCATACTCAACAACAAAATGTTTTTAAAAAAACAGAAAGTCTGCATTTTCTCAATCTCTGTTGCTTTGCAGGAAAGCTACAAGTAAGAGTGGATAACTAATTTATAATGTGTTCTTATTATGAACATATCTAGATTTTGTAAGGAAGAATTCCCTAAATCAATGTGTGTATAATGGGTAATATTTAAGCAACTAAAAAATACTTAAAACATTGAAACAAGCTGGAATTCAAAGAAAAACTGAGCTACAGTGATGTAGTATTTTATCAATAAGAGTTTTAAATGATCCTGACAAGGAATCCAGTATGAAATGTGAAAATATGATGTTGTGTTATTTTCTATGATGTAACTAAAATCGACAGACAGTTAGATAGATAGATAGATAGATAGATAGATAGATAGATAGATAGATAGATAGATAGATAGATAGATAGATAGATAGATAGATAGATAGATAGATAGATAGATAGATAGATAGATAGATAGATAGATAGATAGATAGATAGATAGATAGATAGATAGATAGATAGATAGATAGATAGATAGATAGATAGATAGATAGCCAACGTACGGTACATACTACTGCAACTAAAAATACAAAGTTGAATAATTATTATAATAATTAGCAGGTTTAAAAAACAAAGTATATATATATATATATATATATATATATATATATATATATATATATATATATATATATATATAAACAAATTATTTGACAAATTATTTGTTGTGCTGTGGCCCTTTTGCTCCTCAGTAATATATGCAAAGCTCCACTTTATTTAAAATTTCAACAACAGATTTTAAAGAATAATAAATCACTCTTTCCATATGAAATTTCAATATGAAAGGTAAAAACTGCAGGTAAATATAAACACAAGAGGTGGTCAGCGGCAAAATACAAGACAGACATTTCATTAAACCCCCTCCCGCTCTCTGTCCCTGTTTGTCAATCAAGGTGATTTGCTGACCAAGCTGGAAGACCAGGATGATCAGGGCTGGTGTAAAGGTCGCCTGGACAACGGCAAGCTCGGTCTTTACCCTGCCAATTACGTGGAGCCGATCTAAACCTCCTAGCCGAGAACACCGGCTGAATCTGGACTGAAGCATCCACTCATGCTCACGCATCGCCAGAGACCTCAAATCATTCTTTTCCTGAAAGGAGCACTAAACTGTCGTCATCACATTAAGGACTGCTCAAGTTCACATCACCTCAAGTTACAGCGAATGAAGCAAACAGTTGTGTCTCTGCTGCCCTTGCTGTCGGACGCGATGCTCTTCTTTCACCAGAAGTCAAAGAAGGTGCCAGGGTATCAAGAATAAGCTGTGCATTAATGCATTTTAATCTGTTTTTTAAACATCTGGATGTACAGTTTGTCTCTTCTAAAAGTACAATGTTTTCTTCTTTAGTATTTACAATATGTTTAGCATTTTTGGGAATGTATATGTTTTTTCATCTTGTAAAATTCACTTGTAGGGATTCAACACCTTTTAAAGCAGCATGGCCTTTTAAGTTAGCAATCAAGCTCATGAACATGAAACACAAATGCCTTCCAAAAGGCCTTCCAGGCAACAGAGGGCCAGCAGCATGAAACAGTCCCTAAAACATTTGCAGCATCAAAATAGGTAAAACCTTTTGCTGTTTTCTTGTGTCATGGAGTCATGTGTGACGTCCTGTATACAAAGTAAAGGCATCCATAGAGAAAAGTGTTAAGCTTCTGAATGGATAAAGACCTGCCAATCAAAGGCAGAACTGATCTTCAATCCCTGAAATAAACAAAGAGGACTCAACCAAATACCTGTTACTATTAATAGATAAGTATGCTTGGAGATTTCTGTGTAATGATGCTTAAAAAAAGATCAGTTTAACTGAATATTACAGTCCTGTTGAAAAGTTGTCACCTTGGGGAGCTTTTGAGATGCTTTTTAAACTACTGTCACCCTTTTTCGGAGTTGGAAAATTACAACAATTTTGAAAATCAATAACAATCACTTGAGCTGGACTGAAATTAGCAGCTTAACAAAGGTGGAGACAAAGAGAAACGCAACCTTAATTTCAAACAAACGTGGATTAGTGAAGTTGATGCGTTTAGCTCTAATTACACTGTACCAAATATTAAGCATGGTAGAGGAACATTCATGCTGTGGGATTCCCTTTACATTGTTCCACTTCTCTTCTCAGATCAATCTTAAATTATCATATGCATGGATTTGAGTATGTATGTATAGTTTTAGACCTTGTGTGGAATATCCACAATGAAGTCAACAACAGTTCACTCAGTTTCGGTTTTTCATTTATTTATTTATTTTTATTATTCAGTGAAGTTAGCAATTATCAAAGATAATGCATCTTAAAAAAAACATTTTCTTTAACATCTTTAAAGACCCAACATTATGACGACATTCACACCCATGGTAGGTATATGTAAACTTTTCACTGGGACCAGATAAGTTCTGACCTGAAGTGCATTAGAACAGAAAAGCCACAACACAGAACCTCATCAAGAAGATGTTCTAATAAATCCAAGAGAAGACTAAAGAATGCAGAACTGTTCTGGCCCGTTCACAGTCTGTTGCTGCATTTCTGTTTTAAAAAAAGCTGTAATATAACATCATCTCACAGTTATTCTCAACAGCGGTTCTGTTATTTCTAATGGAACTCTCCTTAAAAAAAATCTGTTTTGACATCATTCTCTACTTTTCCAACTTTCAGAAACAATGTGCCTGTATTCTCTATCACCTTTAATTGCTTTGTTTTCTCCCTTTTCTTGATTATGTTGTGATTATGCAGCCATGATCACAAGCTGCCTTGAAAACATCAACCTGTAGCTGTTTTATATGGAGATTAGCCCCTTTTCCAAACCAGTTTTATAATTTTATGTGTTTCCTCAATCACTATAAGCTGTCAGGTACTCACTGCACTTACCCCTCTGCAGTTGTTTTTTTTGCATACTGATGAACCCACGCACTGTTTGATCAACTCATTCAGCACTTCTTCTTGATTAGTTTTCATCTTCTTATTGGCTGAAGCTCAAGTTAATTAAGACTCCTAGGTTGTGTCATTGTTTCTCATATTCTATGTTCAGTGAGGAAATTCAGCCTATGTAGCAGTGCTGTAGGTATGATAAGAGCCTGGATTAATAATTCCACAAGCCGGTGTGGTTTTCTTTTTTCTCTTTGAGGCATTCTACTGTTACTCATGCAGACAGAAAAAGCTGCAGAGTTAGAAACAGAAAGAGGATCTGTCTGTGAAATATTGATGAGACACCAGATTTTCTGCTGTAAGAGCAAAATGTGTTTATTTTTGCAAACTCCAGGAGTGAAATGTCTGCTGTTGTATTTCTGCCTCTGTATGTTTGCTCTCCTTGCATCTGTGTTAACGTTCAAAGAGAAAAAAAAAATCTCCAATCTTTTAGTCAGTATCTCTCCGGTGTGCTTCCTCTGAATCGGACTCCTCTCATCTAGATCAGTTTACATGTACACCAGTACAGACTGAAGAACCCATAGATGTAATAGCTTCCGTATCTCAGCTGTCTAATAGTGTATTTGTCTAAATTTCACACAGGATGAGAAGGTTTACATCTATTGTGAAGCTCCTAAAAGCCAGTAAATGACAACCTTTTCTTTCTCCAACTCATGCTGCAACTTTACAGAAACTTTTATTGAATAGAGGGTTTCCTCTGTATTTTTAGCATAGTGCTGTCATTTTCAAACTGTAGTGCCTGTCCTGCTTCAATAATAATAAAAAACTAATTCATCTGAAGACTGTTAAATGTCTTAGAGTTTGCGAAATATCAATTCAACTCAGTTTATTTGTATAGAGCAATTTCAAAACACATGTAATCTCAAGGCACTTTACAGAGACAATTAAACCAGATCACACAGTAAAATTGATTCAGTTTTCTATCTATGAAAAACCAGCTGATTGCATCAACGCATTGACTTTTCAGCAATCTCTCGCACCAAGCATGCTTGTAGGGACAGTGGAGAGGAAAACTCCCTTTTCACAGGAAGAAACTTCCACTGGAACCAGACTCAGTGTGAGCGGCCATCCACCGAGGCCGACTGGGGTTCAAGGAGACAGAAGCAGACGTAAAGAAAGAAGCAAAAATATAATGTAAATGTGATGTTAACAGGTAGAAATGTAAACTAAACAGTTACAGTCTTTGAACATTATTGTCACCTGTTGCACATTTAAAATGCTGAATGTGATGTCATTTAGAGAAAATCAGAAACAAACACCATGGAGTATAAAAAAATGAGAATTGGATGCAACTATTAAGTTTATTATGTGGCTGAAGTGTTTAATATTAATTTATAACTGGTCGGAAATTTTGTATTAATTCTTACTGGAGTTGTTTTAAATGTCAAGTGTTAATCAAAAAGTAGCTTAGCATAAATGTGAAAGAAAACTAAAAATAATCTTAGATGTAGGACATCCATTCATGTTTTATAAGCTAAGCCTTTCAGAGTTCTGTGGGGGGCCGAGCCCGTTCCATCAGCAGTGAAAAGTACCAGACAGGTTTCATCCCCAGCCCTTCAGAGGGATAACATAAGAGACACAGAAAAAATAAATACACCTAATGATAATTTAGGGTAAATTATCCTAGCTCCCTCCAAACCAAAGAACCCAGAGAAATCCCTTTTAGGCACAGGAAGAATAAACAAACTTTGAAAATCTACTATCAACACATGGACTTGCTTAAATTTCAGATGGAAATCCCCCATGCTGGTAAATTTGGTGGACAGGATATTGGGAAGATTATGTTACCTTCCACATGTACATGAAGGGGTTTGTGGGATTATACATATGGATGAAAAGATGTCTTGTTTGCTCAAAGGGGTAGGAAATAAATTTTTGTATATTTATGTAGAATATATTTAATATGTACTAATGGTATCCAAAACACATACTTTTTAATTCTATTTTTTCAGGTTAAAGTTGTGATAAAAGTTCCAGTGATGTAAGATGATAATATT